CCCACACCCACACCCACACCCACACCCACACCCACACCCACACCCACTTCCACAGGAACTTTTGCTTTGTTGATTTCCTCGACTGTAGGGAGTGTCGCATAAAATAAAATGAGTTTGTGTGTGTAAGTATTTCTGTCAGCGTCAAGGGTAAAAAAAATATCATCAAATATGAATACATCGGAATTCCAGCGAATCAGATTTTTGATATTAGGACTTATGCCAGTCAAGTTTTTTCATCCTAAGATTTCAGCCAATCAGAGGTTTGTATATTGGGCTTTCAACCGGTCAGATTTTTGCAGGCTGGAGGTAAAGGTTGACGAAAGTAAATCGGGATCGGTGAATGTGAATCTGAAGTCAGCTTCTCAAAATTTTGAGTTGAATTTTTAGGATCAGGGAAACAGTTTTTTGAGAAAATAATGATGTTTTCTCGCCTATAGGAAGGGTTATATGAAATAAACTAAATGTTTGTGTCTGTCCGTGTGAGAATGAAAGGTGAAACAGGTATTTAGCAGTTAAAGTGCATTTTGACAAAGAATTGCTAAGTTGACAATCTCTTACGGAAAAGTAAGGTTTATCTTAAATTACTTTATAAAAAAGGCCGAGCGGTTTCTTCGACTTTTACGATTTAAGAAATTGAAATTTGCGTCAGTTATTGTGATAAAGCTGGTAGATGAATTCTTTCGATACTGACACATGTGGAATATACTTCTGTCTTATACAGTCGAGGGTCAAGTGAGTCGAACCGACGAACGTTACTTGTTTTCTTATTCCCTCGACTGTAGGGAGGGTCATATGAAAAAAAATAGATTGTGTGTGTGTCTGTGTGTCTGTATGTCTGTGTGTCTGTGTGTCTGTGTGTCTGTGTGTCTGTATGTCTGTGTGTCTGTGTGTCTGTATGTCTGTGTGTCTGTGTGTCTGTGTGTCTGTGTGTCTGTGTGTCTGTGTGTCTGTGTGTCTGTGTGTCTGTATGTCTGTGTGTCTGTATCTCTGTGTGTCTGTATGTCTGTGTGTCTGTGTGTCTGTATGTCTGTGTGTCTGCATCGGGGTCAAAAAAACATCCGCTTAAAGATCAATGCTTGGATATCTCCGATATCTGTCTTTCGTCCAATCACGTACTTTCGGCTTGAAAATCTAGCCAATCAGGGATTTTTCATATCGGGCTTTCAACCAATAAAATTCTTTCAGCTCGAAAACTCAGCCAATCAGAGGTTTTCGACATCACGCTTTCCACCAATCAGATTCTTTCAGCTTGGAAATCCAGCCAATCACGGGTTTTCAATATCGGACTTTCGACCAATAAAATTCTTTCAGCGTGAAAATTCCGCCAATTAGGGATTTTCGATATCGGACTTTCGACCCATCAGATTCTTTCAGCTTCGAAATTCAGCCAATCAGGGGTTTTCAATATCGGACTTTCGACCAATCAGATTCTTTCAACCTGGAAATTCAGCCAATCAAAGGTTTTCGATATCGGGCTTTCGACCAATCAGATTCTTTCAGCTTAGAAATCCAGTCAATCAGGGATTTTCAATGTCGGGCTTTCGACCAATCAGATTCTCTCAGCTTAGAAATTCAGCCAATCAGGAGTTTTCGATATCGGGCTTTCGTCCAATCAGATTCTTTCAGCTTGGAAATTCAGCCAGTCAGAGGTTTTCGACCAATCAGAGTTTTTTGAGCTCGGAAATTCAGCCAATGAGGGTTCTCGGTATCCGGCTTTCGACCAATCAAATTGTAGTTGCGTGAAATTTTAGCTATTGAAACTTTTTCCGAAACCTAGCTCTTATCCAATCAGGTTGTGAGAATCTGGGGTTTAAGTCAATCAGTATTTTTTCAGTTCGTTCCTCGTTCAATCAGATTTTGAGGATTTCATGCATTTCAATAAACGCTATTTGCTCGACTGAAAAAATGGTCATATGAAAAAAAATAATTTGTTTGCTTGTCGTTGGTTCAAAGGTCAAAGGTCAAAGATCAAACGATGTAACAATGTGACGCAGTTGAGTGTACCTATTATTTATTTTTCTTAATAAATTTTCATTAAAAGATTAATCTTTGCTCATATTATTAGCCACGAAACAGATAAATACATTTTTCGAACTATTGCGCTGCACACGAGAGAATTTCGTGGCACTATTTTTGAAAATGCTTTGCTCTATAAGCAATCGAGGAAAGTCGTGATTTTAATTCTGAGAATGATTAAAATTCTAAGTTAAATATACTATTACAGATTAGGATCATTGCATTGTAACACGTATAATCAGTTACATTTGATGTTACGATCAGTTATCTCAGAGAAATAAAATAAAATGATATGTAAATAAATTTAACTCTTCAGTCGAGGGCTAAGCGAGTCGAAGCGACGAGCGTTACTTGTTTACAATTCATCTGAATTAACAAAAAAATATCGATCATGAACAATAAAGGACAAATACAGTATAAGATGTTTTTTTATAAGTAATTTATAGAGCATAATACTTTTATTTTTCTTTGTTGTTGAATATTGGAAAAACAAGTTGATGAAATTGTAAGATATGAACAATAATATTTATTGATGATTAATTTTCATTTAAATATAGACAAATGAAAAACAATGGAAGAATTTTAAGATTAATTTTCATGGTACAGCCTCAGAATTTCCAGGAAATAAAATTTGTGGAACGATTAATATCGAACCTGATTCAGCTCGACAACTTATCGAAAAATTTATTGTAAATATCTTGTGTATACAAAACAAAAGATAAAATAATTAATACACTTATTTTCTTTCATATTAGTTACTCGTTAATGATCGTTATTGTGGTGAATTTGATCATTCTTATAAGTCTATATCAATAACAGGTTTCGATATAACTAAAGAAGAAAATCTCATAAAAATTCAAATTCAAGCACTTCCTTATAATAAAAAGTGAACAACGATAAAAATTTCCAAACCTCATGTATGTCTTTTTTAATATGAAAAATAAATATGGAACATATAGATATGTATTTTTAGTCTTTTGTATTCACTGATGAAATTTTAATTCTGAGTTCAATTATACACTTTGATTATATTGAAGAAACTTCAAATTTCAATGTTATTGTTAAGTGGTATCATATTGGTAATGATTATACTGAAAAATATGTTTTTTCTCTTGGATAATAAAGAAATTCAACATGTAAGATTGTTAACTAAATTTTTTGTTTTCATTCATTAGTTACAATTAGGCATGCAACAAACCCAAACCGTTTGGGTTTGGTGAGTTTGGGTATTGAGTTTGGGTTTGGGTATGGGTTTATGAGTTTGGGTTTGGGTTTGGGTTTGGGTATTGAGTTTGGGTTTGGGTATTGAGTTTGGGTTTGGGTTTGGGTATTTGAGTTTGGATTTGGGTTTGGGTTTGAGTTTGGGTTTGGGTATGTAGTATGAGTTGCTGTTTTATTTCTGTTACATCAACTTATTCAACTACTAGTCTTAAAGTATAATGCCATTTATATCCAGCTTCTTCCCTGTATTTAGCTATTTATTTTTTGTCGATGTGACCAAAAGCATGTTTCTATGCTTCAGATTGTTAAATAGTCACATAAAATTATTCTCAATTCTGAGAAGATACCTTGAAAAGTGGATATTTTTGATTGATTTACCCAAAATCTGATCGATGGAATATCGATATCACATTTATCAACTGAGGAGGCGGTTGTTCGATGTTCTACCGTAGTCAAACATTTGTTTTTAAGGGAGAGGTAGAGAACATGAATTCGACCCTATTTTGTTGAGACTGAAGGATGGCTTACAATGAATGAGGACCTCCACATTTTCGCTGCATCTTGTCTAGTTTTCATAAATGTAGACTGAATATTTTCTTTGCTATGCAACATTTGATCATCCACGATATTGCATGCATGTGGATGTTACAGGAATAAAGGCAAAAAGTGTTACTGTAGTAATGATAGAAACATTGAGTACCAAGTAACTTCAAAACTCGAAATGCAACTTGATTGTGTTCATGCGCTGTCACATCAATCTAGATAAACAAATTTCACTGTGCATTTTGTGACACTGGCATAAGTTTTCGAACAGAATAATCAATGAACGTTTCAAGTCAAGTTGCTCCAGTCGTCGTCTTCGTCCCACTACAGATCAAAGCGAGCCACGCTGATAATATAGATGTTAGTAGCCGAGATTATCTAATGAGTATTTATAAGTCTTCTTAGTAATTTAATCTAATATTTACAATCAAGTCAGAATAGTGAAGTTTGAGATACGTGAATTTCACATTTTATACTCTGAAAAACTGAATTAACAAGTTTCTGTAAAGCTTCAAAAGTGCTATCTTCTCAGTAGTCTCTACAACTTTCATAGCGCAACTTAATTAATTAAAATAAGGATTACTTAATGGTTTCAGAGAAAATTTTCGCTTTTTATTTGACATAAATAACGCTTAACTATCACTTATAATTTGTGTAATGAGTTCGTCATTAAGTGAACTTTTTAACAAGCTATTATAATATAATAGAGCATTTGAAGCTCTGCAAGAAAAGAAAGTACCATTTGCCTAAACTTCAGTATATACTTCAACATATATGTGCATAAATGCATGACAAATGTACTTTTTTGTCTGAAAGCTAATGCTGTAAGTCTGACAGATTTCTGTCATAGGTATTGGCTTGTTTTTTATATCTATGGTACATATCAATCAATCTTTTTATTGAAACTTAAACGCGAAGCCGTTTCGAAAATATGGAATACATAACTGTCAAAAACAACAGAGATGTTGAGGAAACACTGCGAAGTTCTTCATTCTGACCGGTCCCCTGGGAATACTTTTGCAAGTGGTTTTCATTTGATGTCTGTAATATTACCAAATTAAAGTCGTTTATTTTTTATTCTTATGAGAAACATCTTTTCATGACTCCGTGCACAGTTAGATAGTAAATATTTTTAGGAAAGTTTTATCTGAATCCATAAAAACTAGGGAAGATATGAAGAAAATACAGAAACCCTCTTTCTTCACGCTTCACGATTAGGGCAGCGCGCTAAAAATCAACAGAATGAGACTTTTTCAAAAAATGGTTCAAGATGAATAAACTCAAGTCAATAATACTCATGACTAGCGGCTGTGATGCAGTCATGCGTTCACATTCACATTACTATACCTATTCGCGCTTCCTGGCATCTGCATTCATAACTTCATCTGCTAAACTTCGAACATTCAGAGACTTGATACATTCACAGCTATATAGTAAGCAACCTTAAGTAATCGAATACTATCCGTAAGAGGTTACAGTCACTAAATCAGAGACCTTCAGAAGTCTCATTGGTTCATCTTAATCCTTTACCCCTGCCCCGCCCCCCCCCCCCCCCCCCCCCCCCAATGGGTTATATATGACCCATTTGTAGAACGATTACAGAAAACAAAGAAAGTATGAGACTGAAAAACTCCCAATACATTATTTGTAGGTAACTTCACAAGCAATACATTGGTAAAAAAATATTTTGTTTTATTGCTCTGCCTTTGAGATATGTGAGTTAGAAAATCGATAATTTTGCAAAAAATGCAAAAATTCGAAATTTTTTAAACAAAATGTTCTCTACTTGCAGTCGGTAGAGGACTTTTGGAATTTCTGCGTGATATTAATCGATGAATAAGTCCACTGCTGAATTAGATGTGTTTCGAAAGCTTCATGATATCTCCGCGAATTATACATACTAAGGAACATCATTGACCATACAGTCACTGTTAGACAGATGGAGGGTAATCAAGAACAAAGTTAATATATGCGTTATAGACTTCAACTCATGCGAAGTCGAAATAGTATCTATGATGAATTAAATCCCTTCAGACGTTACAGAATGCCTTAGAGCAGAATAGGCTTAAATTTGACAAAATGTTTAAAAAAAAGCATGTATTCTTTCATGTTAATTTTTATTGGTTCACTCGTTACGTTCTCCCTATTACTTCAACAGTGCGAGATAGATGCTGCTTCTGTCCAGTCAATAATGTGGTCAAAGAAAAAAAAATTAAGTCTTGTGATGTCGTTCAGTTCCCATTTCCTACCACATGATTTTTACATCAATCAAACCGCCCTACTCCAAGAACAAGACATTCGGTGGTTTAGGCCACACCATTGGCATATTCGATAGGTTAATACTCTATTTATAAAGTTATTTTATCAGTGACTCTTCTGGAACAGCTATGGGGAGGGGGGTAAAGGGTTAATCAAAGAATTAAAGCTCAATATAGAGAGGTATCGAGATTGAAGACTCCCTAACAAACATGGAAAGTCTTCTCTAAGAAAAATTTCCGAGACTCTACGAGATTTTTACCTAGAGTTGCTCGGCTTGACTTAATTTATATGTGCGCACAACTGGACAGATCGATTACGAAAGTAAAAGGTCGATTCCCCGTTAGTCTTCCTCAAAATTTTGTTTTTTTCAATTTTTCAACTCAGACTGACAGAGATTCGACCCTTGATTTTCGTAATCGATCTGTCAGGTTGTATGCACATACAAATTAAGTCAAGGTAAGTAACTCTAGATAAAAACTCGTAGAGTCTCGGAAATTTTTCTTAGAAAAAACTTTCCATGTTTGTTAAAGAGTCTTCAGTCTCGGAACGTCCCTCGCTCTGTAAAATATAGCAGCATGTGAAAACTTATCTTTTCGAGATAGAGAACTGTACTCTAAGTTACGCAGACTGCAGATTCAAACATTTGTTCTGACTAATTTTCGTTGGAGCTCTCTATCCTAGCATGATATTTCGGTTCCATTTGTTACTTATCGAATGGCAAACTACCAAGGGGGAAACAGCAGAGACTTCAGCCGTGAAGTCTCATGAAGTCTGTGAAGTCCCATGAAGTCTGTGAAGTCTCATGAAGTCTGTGAAGTCCCATGAAGTCTTTTGAAGTCTTGAAGTCCTCTATTTTTTTCTGTAATGAAGTCTCGTAAAGTCTGATGAAGTCCCATGGAGTCTCGTGAAGTTTCATGAAGTCCCATGAAGTCCATGAAGTCTCTCGAAGTCCCGTGAAGTCTCATGAAGTCTCTTGAAGTCTCGTGAAGTCCCATGAAGTCTCATGAAGTCTGTGAAGTCTCGTGAAGTCCCATTAAGTCTATTGAAGTCTCGCGAAGCCTCCTATTGAAGTCTCTTGAAATCTTTTGAAGTCTTGAAATCTTGAAGCCTGCTGTTTCTCCCTTGCAAACTACCTTAAGGGAGCTACCTCTCCACAATGTTAATTTCTGTCAGTTCTTGATCTATCAATGTAGCTTCCAGAGAAATGAGCCTCAACTTTTGATTCCTCCTACTGAAAACCAATGTTTGACTACGGCAGAACATCGAACAACCGCCTCCTCAGTTGATAAATGTGATATCGATATTCCATCGATCAGATTTTGGGTAAATCAATCAAAAATATCCACTTTTCAAGGTATCTTCTCAGAATTGAGAATAATTTTATGTGACTATTTAACAATCTGAAGCATAGAAACATGCTTTTGGTCACATCGATAAAAAATAAATAGCTAAATACAGGGAAGAAGCTGGATATAAATGGCATTATACTTTAAGACTAGTAGTTGAATAAGTTGATGTAACAGAAATAAAACAGCAACTCATACTACATACCTGTTAGGATCCTTTACTTTATTTTATTTATATATCCTTTTTTAAGTTACAACCACAACAAAAAAACAAAAACAATAATAATAATAATAATATGAATAGATAATATAATCATCCACACATATCTACTTGTATCACAGAGAGAAGAAAAGGTGGATCGTCCATCTATAATAGATGGCGATCCTAACACCTCCCCCCTTACAAAAGAGAAAAAAAAAAGGGAAAGAAAAAACGAAAAGAAACAATAACAACAAAAAAATAACAATAACAAAAAAGAAAAGAAAAAA